AACGTTCGAAAAAGCAGTGTTTTCACATTTCATTGATTTCCGAAAAACTATAATCTAATTTCAAATTTTCAACTAACATAATATAAACAATAACGTTTGTTACATAACACTTCGTTATCCTGTTTACGTATTTATAATCGGTGATCAATGTTAACGTTAAGTAAATTTTGCAATATCTAATAATTATATGGTCATTGTGCAAATGAAAAATTCCGAAATTATATTATACATAAAATGATAAGTACATAAAATTTCATGTTTTCTTTTTTTTGCACATTGATAACACTATATCTATACATAATTTAAAATGTGATATAATTCTATTTGTAGGCAAACGACATCGTCCCACCGATCTAAATATTATTATTTCACAAACGATGAGGCTGCTAATATTTGCATTCGCCATTTGCATCACGCAAATGGCTTCGAGCAAAGAGTCGAACACGTATTCTGCGGCCGTCGTTGAATATTTTCCGGAGAGATTCAGCAAAGCTTTCGATTTGAAAGAGACGATCACGAAACGCGTCGACGCCTACATCGAAATCCTCTCGAACATCGAACAGGTGAGTTCACTTTTCGATACTATAAATGAGTCTGCAATGAGATGATTCGTTCTTAGGATTTGGATATCATCGTCTACCCCGAATCCACGCTACAGTTCAGATCGAAAATCTATACCAGAGAAGATCTGATAGATGCTGCTTCCATCATTCCATCGGTGGCAGACAAAAACGCACCTTGTTCGGAATCAAATGGATATAATGAATATTTCGTGAGTTTATCGTGTGCGGCTAAGAAGTACAGGACGTACCTTTCGGTGGATTTAATTGAGAAGAGTCCGTGCGTCGGCAGCAAATGCAGCGATGATAAATGGAACGTTTACAACACGAACGTAGTTTTCGATAGGGATGGAATCGTTGTGGCTAGGTAAATCATCATTTGGAGTTTGTAACAATCAAACTTTTAACGTCTTAACATTGCAGCTACAGAAAGTATAACTTGTTTGGGGAGCACGTGAATGTTCCGGATGAACCAATGCACACGACGTTTGTAACGGATTTCGGGGTGAAGTTCGGAATCTTCATCTGCTTCGACATCATGTTCAACGAGCCTGCAATGAAGCTGGTCGAACAGGGCGTCAAGCATTTCATCTTTCCGCTCATGTGGTTCTCCGAATTACCATTCCTCACCGGTATTTAAAAAAAGAATCATCTTTGCAATCATCAAAACTCAATTAAATTACGCGTTTCAGCGGTGCAAACTCAACATATGTGGTCTTTCGAAAACGACGTGGTTTTATTAGCAAGTGGCGCTAATAATCCAAGAAGCGGAAGCAGCGGATCAGGAATATATCAAGGTTTAATTGATCAACACTAAACTCAGTTAAAGTTTATATTATTAACATTTTGTAGGGAGACAGGGCCCGTTGAAGATGTACATCAACGGTAAAGAGGGAACCAAAGTTTTGGTGGCGAACGTAGAGAAGGTTTGGGACAGTTCTTTGTCCGTCGAAAATCCAAATGCAGATGTTAACGAAGACGTGGATAATTTAAAATTGTTCTACGACGATCTCACTAGTAATAGCAAATTAAGTTGTTGCAAAAACCATGATTAAAAATAACGTTCTTCCAGAATACAATAGCTTCAATTTGGACGTGGATCAGCAGGATTACGTTATTAAAGTGAACGACGATTTCCAATGTAATTTCCACGTCGTTGCTACAAACACTGGAAAACTGAGCGACAAACAGTCGTACGTTTACAAATTGGTTGGGTATTCGGGATGGCGCAGTTTTCAGGGACAGAAAGACGGTTTCGTGCAAGTTTGCGCCATGGTAACCTGCCTGGACAACAGTTTATCGACATGCGGTCATAGGTAACAAAATTTTATTGCAGATGTAAAATTCAATAACTTATTCTTTCTATTCAGGATTCCATCCAACCAAGACACGTATCCGATTCTGTTCGAAGATATCAAAGTCGAGATGAAGCTGAAGGAGAACAAGAACTCTAAGCAATATCCGAACGCTGTACTGGGGGATCTGAAACCACTGTATAACGAGAACTTCGACTGGAAGAAATCGGAAGGAAGCAGAGTTATTTCGCTGAAGAAACCGCGCAGGTTCTTCATGACTTTCGGCATCTACGGACGGGTTTTCGAGCCGAAAACAATGAAGATCAATTCAGAATTGTAACAGTTTTAACATATGATGTTTAAATTACATAACGAAGATTATTATTATTTTAATTATATACATTTTTCTAATTTCTTATTTATTTCCCTTTAGTCGTTTCCACTGAATGTTAGTGGCTTGAAATGCTAAGAAAATGTTAATACAATACAACTTTAGAATGTTTCTGTATGTCAAGACTATTTTATTGCATGTATGTTTGGTTGCATATACTTGATTGCACGATCAACGAAAATTCCACGAAATTACTTTATTGCTATGTCCAGAATGGAACGTTCTAGTTTCAACTTTGAACGCGTATTACAGCAATATGGATAAGAGTACAGGAATGTATCTATACTTGCTGGATTCCCCAAACATTCAGCTTTCATATGCATCTATCGGATTAATTCTATCTATTATAGTTTTTGAGTAAATCAATGAATTGTGAAAACACTGCTTTTTCGAACGCTCTAGTTTCAATTTTTCAACTTTGAACGCGTATTACTGCAATATGGATAAGAGCACAAGAATGTACCTATACTTGCTGGATT